AACACTGCACAAGCCATGCTGCAAGCAACTGGACAAGGAAGGGTAATAAACCCTGACACCTTGGTACTCCAGCTGTACTAAAACAACAAATTCCATCACACTTTTCCTTCTGGGAGTCATGCCTTGCAATGCCTCATGGGACTTGTGGTTCCAAAACAGCTAAGAGTGCCAAGGTTTTCTACCTCTGTACTCTACTCTAAAAGAAAAAAAATAAGTTGTCAGTCCCTTTAAGATGATCCACCTTGATAAAGTATTTTACAGTTTTCTGTATTACATACTACTGATCTCTGAACTCTGCATTATTTACTCCTGATCCCTGCACTCTGCAATACCACTGATCTCTGAACTCTACATTACTTACTCCTGACCCCTGCACTCTGTAATACATACTACTGATATCTGTAATTCTACATTACTTACTCCTGACCCCTGTGAAAGGGTTAACCAAGACTCCTTAACCAAACTTCACAGGAAGATTCGTTAGGACGGATGCAGGAACATATTCAAACAAACACTAGAGATTGTCTAGACACGTTCAATTTATTGTTTCACAGGCAGGGTTTATATACAAACTGTAAAAATAGAAGCAAGCCATGGGTACGGTCATAGAACTGGCAGTTTGGTCATGTGGTGAAGAACAGGAAGTGTGGATAAATACCTTTTAAGATGGAAAGATAGAAAGTACCACAAGATAAGAGAAGTGCGAATATACTGACTAACTGATGTTACAATCCTCTGCAAGTCTTGTCTCCTAATATGGTCTGTTAGTAAAGCGGATATATAATAAGACTAAATAAACCAGCAAATTATTAATACTGACCCATATACCCTGCACTCTGTAATACATACTACTGATCTCTGAACTCTGCATTACTTACTCCTGACCCCTGCACTCTGTAATACATACTACTGATCTCTGAACTCTGCATTACTTACTCCTGACCCCTGCACTCTGTAATACATACTACTGATCTCTGAACTTTGCATTACTTACTCCTGACCCTGCTCTGAGTGTTACTTACCCCTGACTAGGGATGATCAAACCAAGCAAAGTTTGGTTGGCAGGCGGTTTGGTGAACACAACAGAAGGTCTGCAAACCCGGACATAGTGAAGAACCCTATTGAAGGCTATGAGAGCCAAATTGAATACTATTTTTTTCTAGTGTTTTAGAAGGATAATTTGCAAGATATTGTAAGAAAGTGCATGGGTAGCTGTGTTCTACCATGCGGGGAGTTTTACCAATGCAAAGTAAACAAAAAACAGTTTAACAGTGTGGGGATTTGATTTAATGGAGAGGCATGAATTCCACTTTCTTAAAAGCAAACTGTTTATTCCAGCATAAGTAACAGAAAGGAAACAGGCATCAAGCCAAAACGTAAATGAGTGAGATAGTAAAGCAAACAAAAGTTTGGTTTAACTGAGCTTTACTTAGTCTGTGTGTTGAAGACAGTCTATGGTTCCAAGTAATGTACCCTTCCTTGGACAGCAGCAGTCCAAAACCTGGCTCTTGACGCACTTTCAGACTTAGCGTAGCAGCTTTCACTTTACAGCCCAGCATGTCTGTCTGAGCTAAAGCCCAGGCACCCAGCCACTACAGCTTGGACCAGCTGCAGTTATCAGGGGACCTGTGGGAAAAAGGCAAAAATTGTGCATGGGACTACGCACCCATCCCGCCTAGATCTCTCGAGGGTTTCCAGTGAAACCATCCCCGCTGCATGTTTTTTAAAAGTAAGGTAGAGTTCTAGGTTTATCTACCTCTGGGACTTGTTGGCTTCACCTTAAATTAATACGTAAGAAACCATGGAGCCACATGCACTTCTAGTTATATTCAAAAGAAGGTGTAAGGTGACAGTTATGTGCATGTCTCTCTGGGTCTGTTTTACTGGTTCTTTCTGCTTTGTTTTTAAGTTACCAGCTGTCTGCTGTTTCTAAAGAGCATTACCTCAGTTGCCGGGCAGATCTTCATTCAGCAGAGCAACCTTTCACCTCTATAGTTGCTCCTGTCACTGCACAGTGTCAGCAGTTACCTCAGGACTGGCAGCTGCACTAACATCTGGATTATATTCAGCCTTTCTTTTGAATATTTTTACCTGCTCCCCGCCCACTCTCAGTCTTTATGAGGTAAAGTCGCCCACTTTGTGGGTGGACAATGGTTGGTAAACGGTTATTTGGTTGGTTTAAGTTTTTGCTGCTTGAGTCTTGATGAATAAGCATGGTGGTCTGTTAAAGATTAACAGTGGTTCTGTTTAGTAAAAGAGGTTAAAGCCTATTTCATGGTTAAAATTCATTAAAACCCAATAAAGAGTCCACAGCCTATCGTTTTCCCACAATCTTTGTTGTGTTTGTTCCTTTATTATTTAGATTTATTGTTATGATATGATGGGTGTTAATGGGGTGTACAATTCCAAGAGTTGTACAGGTGACTGCACAAGTTACATGCTACATGCACCAGATGTCCTTGCTGGGTGCAGGTTTCTGTACGCACATTCACGCTGTAGGGCTGTGCATATCCATGTGAATGAGCCCTAAATCCACTTTGAATTGCACCTGAGTCCAGAGAATACACACCAAAGTATTTACATATTCTGAACAAGTGTCAGGAACTCGAGACCTGTCTCCCCGCACAGCCACGGCGCCGTCTCGTTGCTAGGAGACAGGCCGGCCGGCTTGCGTCCTCGGCTCCTCCCTCCAGACGCCTCCCTCAGAGACGTCACACCTGAGAGTGAGGGCATAGCAGGCCGGCCCTCCAGAAGCGTCCCGTTGCTAGGAGACGTTCGGAAGGGCCGCTGCTGACAACTCCGCCCCCAACACACCTGTCTAAATGATAAAAGCCTGGGAGGCTCACTTACTCGACGTTCTAGCGAGGTAGAACGTTGAACAATCTTCTAGAGTTCTTACCTCATATCCTGAACCTTGTTGTCCTCCTCCAGAGAATTGGGAATCTGGACTTCTGCCAGCACATCACGGATCCTCTGACCTGTACTCCTGAAGGGGCTCTGGGGCCAATCCAACCACAAGTACCACCTGGACACTGCATTAGAGTATATTGCATGCTATGATGTGGGGTTAAAGAGAAGTTCTAGAATATATATTAAATGCTTTTATAAATGCATTTAGTAATATATTACTGTGGCCATAAATATATTTTAAAATGTATTTAGGAATACATTGTGGAATATGCTGTGAATATATTCTAGAATATATATATTAAATGCTTTTATAAATGCATTTAGTAATATATTACTGTGGCCATAAATATATTTCAAAATGTATTTTGGAATGCATTGTGAAATATGCTGTGAATATGTTCTGGAATATTATGTTAAATGTACTTCTTCATGCAAAATATGTGCTGGAGAAATAAAAAAAAAACTTTACTATTATATTCTGAAATGCATTTCTAATATATTTTATGGGGTCTATTCACGAAGCTGCCGAGGGATCTGGCCGTAGCTTCGGCCGATCCGTCGGCTAGCTTCGGCCCCAGGACCCCTTCGGTTCAGTAGAACTGAAGGGCTGCTGTACGGGCTATTCACAATAGCCCGTACAGCTCCCGATCATGGCCGAGC